ATTTGGGAGGGTTTTTTGTTGGCTTTCTTTTTTTAATTTGGGAAAAAGTCAAATGTGATGTAGTAGGTTACTAAAGCTCACTATGAGGAATTTTGGCTTCAGAATTTTCCTAAGTGTGATAGGTTTTTTCCAAGTATTTCTTTAGCAGAGTTTGATTGGTTGGTATTATGGTCTAGCTCACAAGGCATTCAGTCTCTGTCTAGTCCTATATAGATACCTGTGTATGTTACAAAATCACTTCACCCGTTATCCTAAAGAGGGATCTATGCTGATAATTCAGTCAGTAGCAGAAGTTTTGCAAGTTTGGCTTCGGGCCTTGACAGAGCAGAGGAAAAACAGAGAGCTAGAGAGTACAGTTTCTGGTTCTGGCTACTGCTGCCCTTCCTTGTCCTGTCCTCTGAGATGCTCTGCTGTTCTTTGGAAACCAAGTCAGAGTACACATCTCAGTGGACTGTGCTTTAGCACAAGAGTTGTGCAGAACTTTCCCACTGAGCCTCAGGGGCATGTGAAAACTGATCTGGGGATCATCCTTAAAACAGATCTAAACATGTAAGCTTTTCAACTGAACTGGATGTACTGGATTTCTGTTTCTGAGGGCTGAGCCCTTCCTGGGCTGTGGGTCAAATCTGAGCCCACACCACAATCCTAGATATTTTCTAATCAAGCAGGCAAGGATTTCCCTCATGATGATGAATGCTACAGAAGCATATAAATACATAGGCACTGTTACCTTTCTTGTTGCTAAGTGCTCCCTAGTCAGAAAGAGCTCTTAACAGTTGTCAGAAATGCTGCACTATAATTTAAAATAAACTGTAAATCCCTGAGATGGATGAAAGTATCAAGATGGATGATCTTGCAATGGTCAGTAGAGAGGCTGCTGGTGATTTCAATGACTTTTCTTGCCAGTCATGATTGAAGATGACCATGCATATTGAAAGGAACACAGCAAAGAGGATCAGGAGGATACATCAAAGGCTAAAAGATAGGTGCTATTAAACATTCTCCAGCCTGCAAGCCTGTAGTTTTTTTTCAATTTCCTTCTGACTGAGAGATTGTGTCCCGAGGAAAAACCAAAAGTATTCCATATTGCTTGCAAACAGGCATAATCCTTGGAGTGAGTGATGTTCCTGTCTTCCATTTTTCTTCTGAATCTCTGTGCTGCCAGTCTTTCTTATTTTTCCTGGTTTTATGTTAAAGAAAGCCAGCTTGCCTAAACAGGCAATTGGCCCCTGTTCCATAAGATAATGGATCCAACTATTATTAGAGGCCAGCTTGGAGGTACAGCTATACAACTCCATAGCTATACAGCTACTGTTCAATAGTCACCATGGCAAATACAAACCCTCCAAAATGCAAAGATGAAGGTGCTAGCAACTCTCCAAAATGCAAATAAAGCAGCTTGCAGTGTTCTCGTGGATTGCTTTTGCTTTAATTTGTCTTAAGGAATGAAAATGTTTGTCACATCTCTGAAAACAGAAACACAGTTTGGTAAACCTCATCTACCACTAAGGTGGCACAGGGAGACACCTACTCAATCCAACTATATTTAGTGGAGTACCAGTATAGGAACAGCCATACCAGACTCGGAGTTCATGTAGCTTTTCCTTATCTTTGATGCCGTCTGGGTGCTCTGGAAAAGAATATAAGAAGTCTTAGGAATGGGAAGCCATGTAGTAATCTCATCATGGGGATTCTTATTTTCTAACTTGCTCCAAAAAAATCCCTGTACTCTGAGGGTTTATTCATCTTCTTGGGTTTCTTCTTAAAAACAAACAAAAAATCCTGTGCTACTTGATATAGAGTTTTCTGATACTGAAAAGCCCCAGATTTGAGCACCAGTAATTTTTGGTGGCAACAGATTTTAGAAGGTATTTATATCTGACCTTTTGAGCAAAATATCTGCAAAAATGAGAAGACTAGGTCTGTCTGCTTATTGTCACTTCTCTTGACCAGCACTCCTGAGTTTAAATTTATCAAAGGATCATTTTATCACTACCTTCTTCAATTTCATACTCACTTCCAAAAAGGCTTTGGGGAACTTCTCAGAGACCTGCTGGAAGAAGCAGGGTCATGATTCTCTTGTGAGGGATGCCCATGCAACTTAATAGCATGGCCCTTCTTAGCCCCTAGTGCCTGGCTTGATCAGGATTCCAAGCTATTTGCAGCTTCAGTAATACTAAACTAGATCAGCTGTAAGCCACAAAGAGATAACTGCTATATTTCAGTTTATTAGCTATTCAAGCTCACTTTTAAACTTTTAAAAGGCAAATTATAATTTAAAAGATCTCAGTAGAAACATATTCTGCTTTCATGGTCTATGGATATGCATGTTTAAGCTATCATGCCATGACACTGTGCTCTTTGATTTATATTTTTACTGATGCTTTGACTGAGTAGTTTGTTGCAATGTACTGCTAAATGAAGGAAAAATCAAAAACTGCATCAGACAACCACTCTGTATTTCATTCTAGAAAATAGCTGGCAATTATAATTACTCACCATGTTTCTGGCTCAGAATAAAAGTGGCATTGCACAAAAAAACCACACTGAACATTCATCGTGATTAGAAAATGCTCCATACCTTGGAGTGCAGTGGAGACATAAGAATAATTTTAAATGCAAATTAAATTGTGGGGGTAGCAAAGAGAACAGATAAAAGACAGTAAAACAAAGCCTTTCACTTTCCTCAAATTAGCAGGCTAATGTAGTATAAAAAAAAATCAGTTCTACTCAGATCTGTGCTAAGAGCTTTCATTTCATCATAATATAAAACAGCAGATCCGTCACCTTTCTCTATTCAGTACTCTTGATTTCGAGGTTGAAGTGAAAATTAGAAGCTGTTCTTTCTGGCTCACAGGCTGGGTTGCATTTGCTTAGTCTTATTCCATGACAGTAGGATGGAAAGAGGTCAGTAACACTGGTAAGTACTTCTGCATCTGATTTTATTTATTTATTTTTAAAATCTTTCAGTGCTTTGGCTTTTTGTCAATGTGCATTTCCTAAAAAAAGCTACATTGTGTATTTTGTAAAAGGCTGTATCTTAAGCAAAAATGCAATGATTCCTTTAGAATGCTTATATCAGATGTTAGAGCTCCTTCAAGAATGAACGAATTCCTTACAGTAGGAATTCTGTAATAGGAAAGGTTTCTCAATATTCTATATATTTCATTTTTCTATATGTTTCATATTTCATTACTGGAACATTTTGTATGTTGCTTTTTCTGTCTGCCTTGTCCAACAAGCAGTACCAGATAAGAAATGAATCTCTTCTCAAGATGTTATTTGCATTATATTCATAGCAAAACAATCTCATTACCCTTATGGTTAATGATGGAATAAGCAGATATTTTCGTTAGTGAAAGCAAACTATTAGATAAAACATAATGTTATGTTTAAATTTAACCATTATGAAACATTAAAAATATCTCAGAATCTGAGATGCAACAAGGAAGATCGACATGTAAAACAAATTCTTAAGGAAACTTGATACAGATTTTTTTTTTTTCCTTGGGAAAGTTTTTATCAAATCAAAACCAGGGGCTTAATTTTTTAGTACGAAGGGCGAGGGGGAGTGGGGGAGATGAACGTAGTGTCACCTCCTGTTGCTAAGTAACAACATCTCCTGGCCATTTTTATCTGATAAAGGAAGTCCAGTTGACGTTATGCATTATTCATCAGAGTTCCAATCAAACAATCAAAATTGTTTGCTTACACTGGGGACATTTAGTAAGATCAAAGAAACCCTCCTTGAAACTACTGGAGCTTACACCACTGCCAGACAGCCCTTGATACTCTGCAGTAAGTATCATTTCTGGTTTGGGAATGCTACAGTAAAGTGAATTGCTGTGGAACGTAAAAGTTTTCTCATCAGGACAGACTTCTGAATTTTAAAAGGACTGCATGTTGATTGATGAGAACTGAATCAAAGGAAAAAGGTAAAGCTTTGGAAACCTAGTTTCGTGACTTTTCACAACAAAATTGAAGGAATTACTTGAAGCAAGAATCAGACTCCCCGTCTCAAACCTTTTTGTTAGGTTTGCACGGAAAAGGACTAGAGGTATTTTTGTCTGTCTGTCTTAAAATACATGTTGTTCAGAGTTGTTTGCATGCTTATGATTACATGCTGTGGTGAACTGTGATGTGGGTGAGAGAACAGGGTTGTGTGTTCTCGGCAAATCCCGATTTTTTAATGTAAGTTTTTAAAAGTATAATAAAATGCAGAAGGTACTAATGAAGCTGAAGAAGGGTCACAATATCTTTCCAGGAACTCTGCCAGGCACAGGCAAACATAATTCAGTGTACAGCTTGGAGAGTTGTAATCCAGGATCACAGCAGATCTACGATTCAAAAGGATGCCAAAAATACGAACCTTTGCTACAAAACAGTGCTAGGAGTATCCTACCATTTCTTAATGATTGCTCTTACCACATATTTTAAAACTGATGGTGGAATGTTCTGTTGCTGCTTCTGGTCAGCAAGAGGAGAGAGGAAAGGCAAGGTTGGCTTCTGGTCTATTTAGGTGGAGAGAAGTATCCAGAATATTGTCTCTTCCTTTCTAGTGCAGCATTTTGGCATAAGTGGCAAGAATGTAATCTTTAATGTAGACTGTTATAGTAGTGCCTGCTCAGAGGCACTGGCTGTGAATCTGGCTAAAGGAGGTCCCTGTCCTGAGCTTTTCTGATTTTCTTTTTAAGGGCAAATGTAACAGGCAGATGAATCCAAATATGTGTCTTAAGAAATGGAGACTGTGACTAGAATACAGGTGATTGTACTAGGAAGATACAAGGAATCTTGTTAATACTGCAGTAGCACTTTTCTGTTTTATCTTTAGACAAGGTTTTGAACCAAACATTCTAAAATAGAAAAGGATGCTTATGAAATTCTATGAATAGTGACTTGAAAACACTTTGACCCTAATATGCCAGATGAAGTACTTTAGTGACTGCGTACACAGTACTTTCCACCAGCTTTTTTCTCTGACATCTCTGTAATCTTTTCTAGGAATCTGACTGATCGTTCATACCGGAGTATTGTACACAAAGCACCTTCAAAATGGACTACTTTTTGGATGTCGAGTCTGCTCACAGACTGTTTTACAGTCAAGGAGCCCAAGGTAAGAAACTCTGGCACTGACTCAGAAAATTACTAGTTTAACTGTAGAGTTAAAATGTATATGGCCAGATAGGGGCCAGTGACCAACATACTTAGTGTTGAGAGGGCACAGGGCCTTCAAAATGCATGGGCTTTAAAAGGGACTACAAGAAGAGTAATGGTGGGGTTGATCTGCCCTCTCAGAGGATAAGGAGGAGGTGTGAGAGCTGTTGCATGTGCTGCAGGAGCAAAAAGAGCTGCCAAGACACAGGTCCTGGTGTTGCAGAACCTAAATGGACACGACAGAGGAGACAGCAATGGCCTGCAGCTTGCTGAGTAAGCCTGTGGTGTCTTTTCCCTTCCTCCTCTTTCTTCTCAGTGCTGACAGGATCATAAGGTGATGTTTTTCAGGAAAAACTGGTTTGGGAAGGCCCTGAGGCAGTCCCCCACCTGGTTTGCACAGAGCAGCTCTCACTCGTCTTCACCATCCCCTGTGAAATACTGGCCCTCACAGAGCAGCAGCAGGGTGAGAGGGGAAGGGTAACCAAGATCCACTGCTTTAATGTAGTTGAGACTTGTGAACAACATAGATGATATTTTTGGTAAAGTCAGTTCACATTTTTCTCACCAGCTCTATATTTGGAGAAAACTTGCAATTTCAGAGAGAAGGGGTTTTTTTCCTTAAACTTTAAACACCATATTAAATTCAAGAAAATTGTAAGAGCCAAGTAGCTCTTCAGCCATTTTTGTTTCTACACACTGCCTGTTTTTTGAAAATGGGATCCATTTTTCTTCCACTATTAATTTCACTGGTTGCTAATCAAATGCAAAGTCTGGACAATAGAGTTTGGACTTCCCTCTGGAGGCTATTCTCCCAGAGCAAGATATAATCCACCCACAGGATGCCACCATCCCAGGATAATGGGGAGCAGTACCACCTCTGACCTCTGGCTCAGCTGAGGTGCTGCTGCCTAACACATGCTGTGTTGCTTAGCTGCTGTCTCAGTTGTTGTGATACAATTTCATCTGTACCAGTTGTAGAAAGCCTTTCTTGTCACAACACAGCTTCCTGCATTGAACAAGAGAAGCAAATACTAAGCACCACAAAATCGGGGGAAAACCACTGAGGGCAATGAGTGATTTTGATGGGTTTTTTCCCTCCATCTCTAAAATACAACAAACACCTGGGTGTTGCTAAGAAGTAATTTTGAAATATGTTATTCAACCCTCTTTGAGCAGAGAGGTTGGACTAGATGACCTCCTGTTACCAGTTCCAACCATAACAATTTTGTGATATCTCTATGGGAACAAGTCATTTCTATTCCATAGAAACTAAAATTCAGGAATATAATCTCACTGCTTTACAAACTATAGCAAATTATCAACAGCATCCCAATGCCCTGTGCACTGCAACATACAGAGGCAACTTCAAAGAAAGAACATGTGATCATGCAATGAAAGTCTATTACACTCAGGTGCACAGGGTGACTCGTAAGGGTTGTTCAGGCCAACTTCGCTATAACTATATCCAAGCAAGCAAGATTGAAAAAACATTATTATCTGACCCATACTTGGAGAAATTATATTGTTAGCAGATATAGAAATGCTTGTGCTGATCAGTTATTAAATCCAAAACAAGGAAAAAAATTCATTATGCAGAACTGTATTCCTTGATACAAATGTCATCAGCAGGGGACTGACCTCTAGGTCTGTCATGTGGACTTCTATCCCTTGGCCAAAACAAGTAGGAGCTAGCACTGAGACTTGGAGATTTTTTGTTGCCCTGCTTAGGAATGTTTTATGAAAGTTACCAATTACATGCTTCCCCTGTGCACCAGTGTCTCACACCCTAACTACCTCCACAACTGGAAACATTGACAGAAAAACCATGCTGCACTTAGGCTCTGTCCCCTTCCACTTTTCACCTTTCTCATTGCTCTTTTTACTGCATTTCTCGCAGCTCCTGCCCTTTGCATCTCTTGCCTCTACATGCTTGAGGTGAGGCCTCTTCCCCAAACTCTAGTAACCTCCCCCTCTTTTCCTATTTCTGTGCTTGAGGTCAGCTGCTCTCCAACAAGCTGAGTGCCAGCAGGGAAATTGCTCTGAGCATGGAAGAGACAATGCTTCTGCTTTACATTCTCAAATGCTGCAACACAGCAGCCCCCTGGCAACAGGAGAGGTGCTTGAGGGGAAGAACAGATGAGCAATTGCAGTGGCAATAGGATGTGAGATGAAATGTAGCCTGTACAGAGAGAAGTTTCAGGAGGCTTTCACTGAGCTTCTCTGAGGTGCACAGACTACTTTAGCAGGCCGAACAATAAGCCTCTGGAAGAATTATGGTCATCAAGCTTTTCTGCAGTAAATGCCTTTATGACTACCTTTAGCCCCAAACTTCTAAATAACCCCTTCCTCTCAGCTGCTTTACCCACAGAACAGAACAAGCAACTCAAACCTATTGAGTGTGTATTCATGCTGCCTATACAGCTCTGCTAACTCCTGTTGCCCTTTTACCTTATGCCAAATTTTAAGGCTGTCTTCCAAAAAACAAGCCCTTTCATATGAGGTAATGGCATGATATCTCCAAACATGGGCAAAATCATCATATTTCTTTCCTTCTCCACCTTCTGAGAAACAGGCTAACTGCATTAAGCTTTAACTTTCTGAAACCGCCCCCAAAACACACTGAATGTGAGGCACTCATCCGCAATAAATAGCATAGCTCAAGTAGCTAGGATGGAACTGAACAAAAGGTCTGCAAGAAAGCATTGCCAACAGATCTGCCTAATGGGATTGCAAATAACTATTTGATGTTGATATTATAGCATGACACTATTAGCAAATCACACTATCAAACAGCATGTGTATATGCATTAAAACTGCAATAAGAACTGAGTGAAAGAAGACTACAGTATTCTGCCATTTAATTAGAAACAACATCAGAAAACAGTATATGTATTAGTAGTGTAGTTATATTGTCAGTTATTGCATTACAAAGTGCTCTGTTTACAAAATGTAGAATGGGGGTTTATGACCCACTCAACTCTTTCATGAGATTTGAAGGTCTCTGCCCTTTAGTACTCCAGATCAAGAAAAAAGTCTTTCCACTGTTTTCACATTAATGACATGACAATGTTACAAATGGCAGCTGTAAAGCACTCATTCTCATTTCTCGTCATTCCTTGTGGGTGGAAGAGAAGGGAAGGAATAGGATGCAAAATGTTGGGAAGGAACTTAAAGAGCTATGATGTCATTGACAACTGATGACATAAAATTCTACCTGGCCTGGGGTCTTATGTAGTTGAATGTGTGATACTCTGACCTCAACAAATAGACTGAGACAGGGTTTTGTCCTCCAGCAACTAACCCACCGGTTCTCTGCACCTTACTGCCTGCACTAACACCCACACCTTGTCCCTGCTCCTGCAGAAAGATGCAAACTGCCTTTGCTGTTTTAGGGTAGGAGGAGAGAGGTGTTACTTCATGAGTTGCCACCTCTCCCATCCTCTCCTCTGCAGGAGCAGCTATCACCTCACTTTCATGTGCTGAGCACAGAGCAGAGAAATGCTTGCCCGTTCAGGCTGTTCTGCTGTTCAAACAGCTGTTCCCTGTTTCCTTCATGGAAAGTGAAGCAGGAGGGATGGAAAAGTCACAAAAGCTGGATCTGCCAGTAGGATTAGCTAGATTTAGAAAACTTGGTAAATGAAGCCAGCTGGCTGTAGTCTTCAAACACAAGCCAGAAATATCCTAAGCTCTGCAGCCCTCCTGACTGTCTCTTCTGTACTGTATGTTGGAATCTAGGAGCTGGTGGGATGTCCTTGCCAAGTGCGTAATGCCTGGTGACGCATCTGCAAATCAGAAACAGGAAAGAAAGGACTGTGATCCTTTGGATCCAGCCTCTTGCCCTTGGAAAGCCTGAATCTGAAATCTAAGCATGAAGCTGGACTTTCATTTTCAAAAAAGCCTTCTCCTTCTGAAGTGTCTGGATGATACCGGTTATTCTTGGCTGCAAATGTATTCTAAATGCAAATCTATCATGGCTTTCAGCTGCAAGGGCTGAAAATATGTAATGTGACCTGGAATAGGATTTGGTTCACTTATTCCTTAGGTGGTCTCAGTGAAGATGTTTTTACCTAAGAGTTCTAACTAGCTTAGCATGTATCAGAAAAAATGTCATTTTAAAAGCAGGATTCACCTAATCTTAGATATCTTCCTTGGATTAAGGTAAGTCTTGCCTCTATACTGATTATGAAAGCCTAGACAGTGAACTTGAGTGAAAGATGCCTGTGCTAATGGCATTTGTTTGCATAGAGGAATGGCAAGATAGAACCTAATTCAGAAAAGGGAGTAACTTCCCCAAAATGGGTAAAGCTGTAATCCAAAGCTGTAAATGTGAAAATTTCATCTTGGCTGTAGCCTGCTTTGGAGAGGCATCATTGATCTTGAAGTTCTATATAAAAATTATGCCTTTGGGCCTGAAAAGAAAGACTTCACATTTGACAGAGCTGAGCAGGCAGGCACTGAGGAGCAGCAGAAGTGAGCAGCTCTGTAAGGGAAAATAAACCCAGAGTCACTGAAACAGGCAGAGGCAGCAGCCTCACCTATGAGAGGTAAAGCATGGCAGCACGCGAGCCAAGCAGGTCTGGTGACAGTCATCAGGTTTAGTCAGGAGTCCAGACCATCAGACAAGTCCATGGATGATGAGGCAGGCATGAGACTAAGCAGGACATGAAGTCAGCAGTCTGGATGTGGATCAGTGAGGAATGTAGCCAGCCACAGGCATAGCTGAAGCCTTGCTCAGCAAATGGGCAGTGGCCACAATGTAAGTGTAACTCCAAAATCAGGGAGAAAGCAGATGTTGAGGCTTCTTGCTTCTCTCTCAAGAAGGTCCAAAGCTGGTCAGGGCCTCTTAAACCACTCTCTCCAACAGCTGTACTATGTCAAAGAGCCTGCCTTGAGCCACAGCCAACTAAACTCTGTGCAAGGAGTGCACACAGAGCTGTTGGTACCTGGCTTTCACCTAGG